GTGGAAATGCAAGCTGTATGTGCCCATTATGCAGCACTTTACAATGAACATGAACCACTATTGTGCGTGTGTGTTATGCACGATCATGGCTTTTGAAATTACGAGATCGAGAACGAGGAGCTTTAGTTTGTTCAGGTGAGGAATTTCAACCTGGAGCATATGTGAAATATAGCAACAATAGTGGCTATGTCGGTCGAGAAACCAGTACGACCGAAGAACGGAACGCAACACGCCACAGGCATTTTCACACTTTTCGTTCGTGGCTTCAGATTTTCGGTTGATGATTGTTGACATCCAAGGAGTCGCGGATAGCCACACAGATCCGCAAATTCATTCAGCAGATGGTCGTGGATTTGGTGTTGGAAACCTTGGGACTTTTGGCATGGAGAAATTTCTTGAAAGTCATCGATGTAACGAAGTCTGTCGATGGCTGGGACTTCGTAGTATTAATGAACAATACAAGCCGGGTGGAACTGCTGCTCCAGGTTATGAGATGCCTTTTGGAGGAGCTATTAAAAAATCCACAAATCGAATAACAGAAGAACGCAATACGTTCTCTACATCAGTCACAGTCAGTGAAGCTTTTGGAGATACGGCTACTGGAGGGTGGACGGAGCGTGAAGATTCGAGGGTAGAGAGCGGAGATGAAGAGGATGAGGACGAGGAAGAGGATGACGACGACGATGACGAGGACACTGTCGAGCATTCGGATTCAGCCTCTTATGCTATAGACTTGTCGCCTGCGATATCGGGGCTGCAGCCGCGGCATTCGAAATCGAAGCGGCCAAAACAGAGATTTTTTCGTCTCCTGCTGCCTTACGTGGTCGGGGTAGTGGGAGATCAGGTAGCAGGTTAACTGAAGTTGAACGTGGTCGCCGATTCCGCCATCCACAGCTTAGCAAACATTCCAGTTTCGTTACAGGGAGTCCTGGTGCTGGAGGAGATAGCCTCTGGGCTTGCGTTTTTCGGATATTACTGTGTGGGTGTACGTGAATCGTACCCATAATTATGATTCGGCACCGATCGTGCAAAGAGATGTTCTTCTTGCTAACAAGCACATATAGAGGTGATTGCTGACCGGGGAGAAGCAGCTTTATGGCAATGGTATTCTCTTGCGAGATATCATCGATTGTTGATCAAAACAATATAGTCCACTGGTTAAAACATGAGAACAAGGTTGGTGTCTTCTGAGCGCCCGTTTTCATTGTCAGACGAGCTTCAACGTGATGCCATGCTACATATATCTCAAGCGAGAGGTTGATATATACCCAAAATTTATTCAATGGCAAGCTGTTCCAACTCTCGTCATTCCACTATTTCGAATGTGTTTCGGTTTACACGGAGATGGTTTTCAATACTACATTTGCAAGTGTTCGCCACGGGAGATTTATCATACTTGCGCGTTGGAAAGAGTATGCTTGCCAAGTCGTCCTTGGCGATGCTTTCGCTGGTTTTTCAGTCGGGAAAACTTCAGTTTTTCGAATCGGATATGATGCCTTGTGCATCCAGACCGTTCTTCACTCCTCAATAAGGCTACCTGAATTCTCGCTGAAGCAAACGCCCACGACCGTCAAGAGATCACTCCATAGTATTCACAATTGGCAAGCTTTATTGACATACAACAACAACATTGTAGGTTAATATTACGTACGCACTGCTGATGCTACATCCACCCTGGAGAGTTTCTATCGTCTCCAGATCTTGAAAAAGGCGAGACCGAGCATAGGTGGGAATCACATTGAGCTTTTCGCTTGGGTTGCGGCTTTCGACTGGATCGCCGGTTTCCATTTGGTCCTCACCTACCGTGGTTACGGTCAGACGGATCCAATTCAAATTCTGGTTCACGCTCACGCTCTCGATCGGTAAATCGGAGACTGACGCCTGTGTAATGGACATCTCGTGTTCCGCTTCCCATTAGAATCTCACTGGTTTGATGATCGCTCTCTCGTTCATCAATACACTCTCGACAACGTGCACAAACTGACAGCGGTGCAACGTAACGATTGTAAATAGTGACTCGTTCGTGTGAACAGCACACGGGCTCGTCACATACTCGATACGCACACAAATCACATCGTCGCCAAGTTTTCGACAGTGTTGGAAAGAAAGACCGAGTACAGGCAATACAGTGCCAATTACGGTGCGTTCCACCTGAACACCTTTCATCTTCCGAGTCGACAACTCCCATTGCTCGAAATGAATTCAAGAGTGCTTGCCATACTCGACCAGGAACTGTCCGTTGGTGTCGAAGATTTCGTCGACGAAGTACCTTTTCCAATCTACAAACACCTCTAGCAAGAAACAAGAGTCGATCTTGAGCTACTCGAGAGTCACAACCACCAGGTACATTGCCTAGAAATGCAGCTTGGAACGTAATGCGAAGTGTCTCGGGGTTCCGAGGACTCGGTTCTGCTATCAACCAGCCTGATATCGGATGTAGCGATATGACGCAGTCAGATGGTGCCTTCCCCGCCAGCACATCAGCAGCATCGAGTGTACAGAAGGACATTTGAAACCCTTCTTGTGTAGGTGTTAAGAGTTCAATGTAACAGCATTGTTCATTCTTAACCCGATGACTTGAATCCGATGACTCAGATGCCGTCATCGAAGTGGACGCGACACTAGTCGATGGTCGTGGATAAAAGGCCAATCTTTGGTGTGCAAAGCTCACTGTCCGAACCATCAGTTGTTGGCCCATAGCTGACCTATTAGTACCAGGTGATAGTACTAGTGACCCACGTTCCGTGTTGGGAATAGCATGTAAGAGTGAGGTGTAGATAAAGTGGGAACCGTACAAAGCACGTAGCAGCGCATTGCTCTCACTTTCACTTGAATCTCGCACTAATGCCAGCAGTTTCGAGATTCGAGTTCGAATCTCACCTTCACCAAGCACTTGGCATTGCCGCGACTGGGCATGTCGTACCCGAAAATGTACTTTCATGCCATTTGTGACACCAATTCGAACGCGTTTCCATCCGCGTTTGGACGAAAGTTTGCCAAGGTCGACACGTCTCTCAGGAATTGCTACACGCTGGACGCGCTGGATCAACTCACGGTCACTAAGTCGCACTTTTCGTGTCGATCTGTTCGAAGGTGATACCGACGACGTATTCAATCGAGTGCTGGATGCCGGACCCTCTTCCAAGATCTGATGCATGAGCCAGTCCCTTTGCCAGCAAATCGGAGAGTGGCGACAGGATCAACGGGCCAGACTTGGACAATAGATATTGGGTTGAGTCCCACGGAAAAGAACGGAGAAGAGACCGAGACAATGGAGACGTACGTATGACAAGTCAAACGTTCTATCGAATGTGTCTATGGTTAGTCGATGGAATCAATGACGAATTCGAACATACGGTCCTTACAACTACTGGATGTACTTTTCTACCAGGACGACAATACAAACAGCGTGACCTTTGGAAGACTATGATACTATACGACAAAGCACTTGCATCGACGATGCGTTGATGACAGATGTCAACTGGTAAGCAATCAAGACATTTTGCTTTTGGGGAGCTCAGTACGCATCATGACAGCTTCAAGTTGAAGTGCATGTCCACCATGACGTTGAAATGGTTGTAGTAAACCTACAATGTACTATTACGATAGTGTCCTGTCCTCTTGCTTGTTTCTTCCACTTGGAAACAGCTTTGGGCAAGACTTAGATTTTCACAGAGCCAGGAGGATACACGGCTCGAAGTTGACTGTCAAAATCTTCCCGAGCGACACTCTCCCGGCATCGGGCGCACACCAGTAGCGGTGCTACATGTCGATTGTAGATGGTCACATGTTGTGGCGAGCAGCATGCACTGCATACGTTATAGGAGCATAACTCGCAACGTCTACAGCTCCGTGTCATGAAGATGTGACATAAAGTTCGCGTACATACGATGCAGCGCGAGTTTCGGGGTCCACTCGCAGCAACGTGATTTGCGTTGCTCTTGAGTCGACGAGGCTGCTGAGCTCTGCTGTCTACCAGTTTTCCGAGCTTACACACGCCTTGGACGATCTTCCAAAGGCGAGCATTCATCACCTTCGGTGAACACAATCCGTCGCTCTCTGAACGGTGAAACCGAGCTCGAAAGACCACGTGTACTCCTGAGTCTACCGGTTCAGCAGAGAACCAAGTGCTGAACGGATGCAGGTGATGCAGCTTCCGACGCAGTGGGACCTGGATTTTACCTGTGACCATTTCTCGACCAGTCAACGAAAAGGTCGTAATGCTGAAGCCACCGCTTGAAGTGGGTGAGAAGAGTTCAGCATAGCACATTTGCTGGTTCTTCTTGTCAAACATGGAGGTGGACACAAAGGCAGACGTCTTAATCAGGAGCTTGTTGCTACGATCGTCTCCTTGTCGACCTAGCGCCGTTCTCTCGTGAGTGGCGTCAGTACCTCGACTGTGCGACTTGCGACGGAAGATAGCTTTATGCACGAGTGACCCATAGATGAAGTCTGAGCCGTACAGTGAATGCATGACCGAATTATAGTCGCTCTCGTTTGATGAGCTAAGTGGCAATGCCAACTGATCGATCGAGCACGCTACATTCCCTACCGCCAAGACCTCGCTGTCAAGTAGTGATGATAAAGTTTGCGAACTGTTTGTTTCGCTGTTCATTGGAGATTCTCGTGTATAAAGCTCAAAGCCCTTCTTTTGTCGTCGCGGTCGCCAGCCTTGATTTACTAAGCTCACGGATGAATGGTTGTCGCTACTACGAGATAAATGTTGCAACCGCTGTATCCGTCGAGCACGGCAAAATAGTTCTCGGTCATTGATCCGTACTGCTCGCAACGGAGAAGATCGGACCAATGTTGGATTCACGGACGGGGGTGTTAATGCAATGTAATTAGGGCGTTGTCGAAGACTATTTCGGTGTTTACAACGAACGACCGGCGTTCGTTCAACTAAATGTAGTGCTTGAAGCGGAGCTCGGACGGTAGTTTTCATCACGGGTCGTAAGAACTTTCTCCTCTTTTTGTTGAAAAGGTAAATTGAGGAATGCAACAACTTCCTCACGGTCAGCATGACATGATTCAAATAGACGTAAGACTTGAGTCAAAAGGACTACTCAGATGAGAGATGAAACACTGGCCACAATCATCTTGCCCACCCTCTACTTGGAGACGAGCCCGAGAGAAAAAGACATATTCAACAAACAAAGTAGGACTAAAGGAACAAGAAGAAGAAAGTTAATTCTTTTCGTGATCCATCTTCTCAGTCTAGTAGAGTTTTCTCATAAAATCGTCTACAAAGGTACAGCCATGTCGGTTTTTCAGTTGCAAGTGCAACATGAAAAGCGTGGATCTGTTCATATTGTCGAACCATGGTAGGATTTTCGAATGACACGTCCATCACTTATAAGCTTGACACTGAATGATGAGTAACTAAGTTTGACCTTAATTTACTACTAAATGGTATTTCAAAGGAGTGAGTTGCTGCGTAATTCGGACTTTTTAAATCCTTATTGGTAACATACTAGGCAGTATACGGTGTTTGATGTATTGACACGTCTGAAATAGCCAGCGTATTTACAGAAGAGCACATTCGATCTAGTGTCAGATGGAGAAAAATAATGTATTCTTGCCCATAATGTCAGCACTCATATTCATACGTGGTACTTTCATGTATCAAGTGTGTCAGAGACTTGTCGATAAATCTTCTTTTCGCTTCTCAGCATTGCGGATTGAAACCAACACTCTATACAGTATCAAGCTTAACCGTTATTACTTGCCACTGTGGTACAGTGAAGATCGCTTTGTTGATTGTACATCCTCTTATATTTGATACCACGAAGAGATGAGAATGTTTGTATATTTTTTTCTCGAGGGATTCTCGTTGTAACCTCTCACATATAATTAAAGCGTTCGGTGGCTCAGAAACCAAAGATTTAAACCCAAAAAAGGCATGGACGTTGCACTATTTTAGGCTCGAGCTGTGAAAAGGTCACGCTGCTTGTATTGTCGTCCTGGTAGAAAAGTACATCCAGTAGGTATAAGGACCGTATGTTCGAATTCGTCATTGATTCCATCGACTAACCATAGACACATTCGATAGAACGTTTGACTTGCCATACGTACGTCTCCATTGTCTCGGTCTCTTCTCCGTTCTTTTCCGTGGGACTCAACCCAATATCTATTGTCCAAGTCTGGCCCGTTGATCCTGTCGCCACTCTCCGAATTGCTGGCAAAGGGACTGGCTCATGCATCAGATCTTGGAAGAGGTCCGGCATCCAGCACACAATTGAATACGTCGTCGGTATCACCTTCGAACAGATCGACACGAAAAGTACGACTAAGTGACCGTGAGTTGATCCAGCGCGTCCAGCGTGTAGCAATTCCTGAGAGACGTGTCGACCTTGGCAAACTTTCATTTAAATAAGCACACCACTTGCAATGATACAACATCGAGCATGTCTTAGTCGTTATTGAATTTTTAGTACAGTGCAGCTATGAGCATGGCTAATGAAGAAGTGTTAAAACTATCTCTTGAAAGAACTCTTGCTACCAATTAAAAGCATGACTATCAGTAATATAAATCTAGAATTTCATTACTCGCAACGAGAAGATACGAAAAACATCAAATGAAATTTCTGGGACATCGTACCAGTGCACTATGTGGCAAATAATCTCCTTTTGTGAAGAGTAGCGTATGTTCTATGCCTCGTTACGGCACACAAGCACCTTAGTTTTATCGGCTCCGTTCATCGGTGACCGCTTATTAGTATCAACAATATGGAAGTGTCCAAAAGAAGTCTTTGCATACTTTATGAGCCGTAATGTTAGTACTGCGATTATGGATGAAATGGCATCGAGCTACCCCTCTACTGGACGCTTATCTGTCTTCCTAAGTTACTTACCCCCAATGAATTTTAAAAATGTAAAAATGTTAGATAGGGAACAGATTAACTGAATTGTTGGTACGAATAGTAATGTAAGAAGAAACGTCGAAGATATCATAAAGAACTGACTCGTTTGTACAGCGTAATCACTAAGAACAACTCCGACGTTTTTCAGTCTTGTCAGGTGCTGCTTCTTTCTTGCCTATATAACTTGTAAGTCCAATCAAATGCAAAGCACGTCATCGTTCTGGGTGTACATACTATTTACGTCTTCGATCCACATGAAATTCTTTGGTTTACAATATAGAACAACTCGCCTCGTAGGATACAGATCCCCGGGTCGGCCACACGACACTGTCACCCACTCTAGAGATTTGAGGTCTCCATGAAGGTTGACACTGCGTCGTGAGAGTCTGCTATGGACGGGCCAAGAAACCGTTTATTAAGCCAGTCACTAGCATAGTCCATCACCTGCTGCTTTTCTGGTTCGTTCCAGAGACAATGAAAAAGTCCCATGAACAGTTTCAGCTCCTTGTCCTTGTTTGCAGCCCGACTGATAAAGTCTTTTACAGCCGTCACACTCGTAACTTTATCCTCTGTTCCCTGCAGAACAAGCAGAGGTACGTTGCAAAATGTGCTCTTGTTGTCTTCAATCTGCTTGTCGGTCTGCAGCTGCGACATCCCCGAGCTCACCTGCACTGCCATGAGCACCGTCAAATTGTCCGTGACATTCAACGGGTCGGCTATAAAATCCTTGAAAAATTCAGGGTCTCGAGTTAATCCATTCATGTTCACTCCAGCCACTAACCTCGCTGTAGGACACAACCACGCTAGCGGTTTGGATACCATCTCCATGACATAGAGAACTGGAGTATATTCAACTGCAATGGCTGGTGAGGTTACTACACAGCCGCTAAAATGATGGATATCTGATAGAATTGTATTCAGAGCGACTAAAGCTCCAAAAGAGATACCCATTATAACTAGAGACGGATCGGATGCACCTTCAGGCAACATTTTGCTGTATACTGCTATCTTGGCAGCGGTTACAAATTGATTGGTGTCGTCCACAAAAAAGTGAAATTTAGACCCATGGGCCCGCAGGTCGGGTTTCTCGCATTCACTCTGACCATGTCCTAGCATATCGTACGCAATCACTCCGTATCCGTTGACACACAAATGTTTATAAACGTGCGTAAACCGGAGTGAATGCTCTCCAATGCCATGCAGAAAGAGCACTACACCACGAAGAGACACTGAAGTGGGAGGGAAAGCAGCACAATAGAAGAGCTTCTGGTTACGATCGTTAATGAAATAGCCATCCATGTAGCGCTGATCTTGTAGACAAAAAGCTTGAGCGGGTAACGAAGACGTCATGTTGGACAGTCTGTCAATATTGAAATAATGGTAGAAGTTATGCTGATCAAAAGTAGATGTAGCCATTTGTACATCACGAGCCAATTGGTTGAAAAGACGCGCAAGCGATACAGGTGGTTAGCGACGTGTTTGATTGGTTGTTTTTTATTGAGGTTTTTTTATATCAAAATTTGGCAAATTCTCTCAGTCTTTTTCAGTATTGTAGAGTATGGTCCTAATAGAGAAAACATAGTGTACAAAAAATAGGAGCGTCATCAGGCTCTCTGCCGTATGATAGCACTTTAAGAAATGCATGCAGCTGCTGGTACATACGAAAATGATAATATAGTGCGATAGAATGACCATTTAGGGCGTATATGGGCATTATCCAGACCTCTTAGCATTACAAATGACTATAGTTGAAGCAAGCAGTAGGAACCACTGAGAGGTTACAGTAGCTGTTGGAGGTACTACATCTGTACGTGAAAAAAGACATGGCACTTTTTGCGTCTCTTTACGGCACCTTGTCAACAGCAAAAACTCCTTACATGATGCTTGCTAAGACTATCATTTCTGCTGATGTTTGCGTGTCTTTATCTGCAATTGATATCACTGTGTACTTCTGTCCTACTTGCTTTCGAAACAACTTCACTTCATCGAATAATACTAGAAGTTTTCTTTCTACAATGGTTTTCAAGACACGCGCCATGTTGGTCGTGAGCCTTTGAGGATTTTGATAACAATGCCATGAATTATCAGTGCAAGAATCTATCGGACTCATGCATGTGCAATGGGCCTTAATGCGACAATGCTTTCATGTACCTCGGTACTACGCCAAGTAGCAAGATCAGGTCAACATCTTCCGCGGGAATTGCATAATGTGCGACAGAGATAGTGAATACAACAAGATTGCTTGCATATGTGTTATTAGTTTACTTGTGCAGCCTTATCTGGACTTAACACTCATATGATACTCATTGTCACTTATAGTATTAAGTCAAGAATTATGCGACTTATTACGGCGGGCAGTCGATGAAGATAATCGAAGGGTGACCGTCCAGTGTAATAGACTTCGTCGGAAGAGTCCGTGGGCTGCGTCCATGCACCAATCGGTTCGAACTTAGGCCGTGGTGCCATGAGTTTGCATATCTCGGAGAAACCGACTTGCTCAGTGGCAATGGAGATCCAGCTGGTGACTTTGTATCGCTCTGTTTGTGGTGAGTGGAGAATCCGTGGGTAGTAAACCGACGATGGGTCTTGGTTTGGTACGAAATACGTCGCTGCTCTTCTTCCGCTGCTATCGCACTAGACATGTCAAGTTCATGCTGCACGGACCGGCCCAAGCCAATCATGGCACGCAGACCGGGACCCTCCGAATGGGGTCGATAGAATCGTTGTGACTTGCTCCGCTTGAATTTCTGCTTGATCTTCGAGGTCTTTGTGGCCGAGTAGATGGCTTCATCTTCAGTGCTGCTAGTACTGCTTTGTCGGTGACTCCGAAACCATTTGAGAGGCATAATCGTATGCTGTCGATGCGTATGATGATGCAACGAGACTTGTGACCTACTCGAACGATTTGAGAATGAAGCGTTTTGGTATGTCGGATTGAAGGTGCCTGACAGGGTTTCTACTCGTCACCATCCAACGCCATTCCGCCGACACATCGTAATCCTTATTCTTCTTGAACAAGTTCAGATCTCGCCGTCTCCTGGCCACAGAAGTTGTCACAGGCTTTCGCTTGCGTGGGACTGCCCGTCGCACCTCTGTATCGGTCACTTCCGATGCGTTTCGAAGGGACGATCTTTTCATCGAAACGATATTGAACTCTCGACAATGAGAAAAAGACCAAAACCAGCTCATCCCTTATTATCTCAAGACTAGCGTGAATACAGGTATGTTCTCTTTTGCTAAAGTTTCGCCCGCGGTCGAAGGAGAACCATGATTAGAATGAGCTGGTGCAAATGGAAAGCCTCGTGAGGTCTTTTTGCACCAAATATTGTTTTTAGGCGGCTGCCACTGCATTGTAAACTTTTTCCTTTTACATCATGCTCACTGAACGTAACACGCACTTTAGACTTCAGTCTCGCAGTGCCGCTTTCTAGAGCTAAACATGGGTCGAGCTGGATATTGTCCCGCCGCAAAAGGCCGAATTTTTGGTCGGTAATACATGGAACTTATCCATGATCGCAATTGCTCCGCTGCACTTACCACAAACTTTATTCTTCGTCATATGACTCCACCGAAACGTGGCTCGGCTGCTACCTCGACTTTATGCTTCGAAAATGTGAGCTGGATGAAAGACGAGACCACAGTAGAGCTCGAAGCCTAGAAGCGGTTTTTGTCTCTACCACGAGCAGCCTAATGTTACGCAGCCACTACTTTCTATATAGTAAAAATGGTCGGAAAACTCAGATGATGGTGAGTCAGTCATTCAAGCAGCTGCCGTTCTCGGAGCAACCGCAACACGCACATTACATGTATTTCGTTTCAGATACTTGGCCACTTTAACATCGGCCTGTTTCAGATTACTTGTCCTCGGTATTGTACTTGGATTAACTATAGGTGGATGATGTGACATCCGTAGAGCCGAGACAGTGTAGACAGAGCAGAAAATTCTCAAGCTATGCGAGCTTGCAGGTGTTTTGCCTTCTTTTTCGAACGCAGGGCTCCTTTGCATATTGCAGTAAGAGGGAGATAATAATGTTTAAAGGTCTTGCTTGTCAACTCCTAGTACGCCTTAGTCGTGGTGATCGCATGGAAAAATGCTCCAAGAATTTTACGCAGCTCATGTAAGGCCAAAACCTTTATAGTGCATTAAGGCCAAGCAACCGATTGCGATGCAAAACTTTCGGTCCTTCGGGTCAGTGTCGGTGTAGACATTATCTTGTAGTATCGTGGCGTGCGCATGTCTTCAATCTCTCGGCTATTTTGGCTGAATCGCAGGCAGCAGCTTGTCGATGAGAATATTCCATAGATGTCAGCTACCTCCTCCGTGGCCTCGCAAGCAGGTTATAATCGCGTACCCGTAAATGTATGTGCGATGTTCTAATTTCTTCATTACAATTGTTCCAGGCACTGTACTGCTCGGGACTTTACTCGATATTGTGCGTTGCAGGTTCATCATACCCCTACATCCACTGCAGCATACCCGACAGTACCTCGTGATTGCTAAAACATCGGAGTGCAGGAGATATCGTCCTTGTACATACTTCGAAGTATAGGGACAGATATTGCTCCCAAATGAATTATAGTTTATCGATTGCTTTCTTATGGCTATCATGCCATCAGGAGTGTTTAGTGTATTGAAACCACATCTATATGATACAATAAGATATATGTTCTGCATCACTTCATGTCTTCGCGCAACTCGAAGCGACTGTGATGAAACTTAAAAGAGAGCTGTCGTTGAGATAGTGTATGTAGCTTTATGATGGAATCCGTAATGACGTCTAGTAACCACGAGAGTATATTTGACGGCTGGATAGCTAGCACTCAGCAATACATCGCTTATCTCACAACCACGTAAGACAGTCATGAACCACTAGCATGCAAGCAAACGATTTTCCACGAAAAGTGCGCCAGCAGGCGATATAACCCCTTCATATAAGTAGAGACTAAAATTTTGGAGCTAGGGGGTTGCGAATCTGCAGCTATTACATGTACAACGCTGATGAACCCGAAGCCAACCATTTTACATAGGCCATGTCCAGGCTGGACAAGCAAAAGCCCGGGCATAAGACGATAGTTTGCTGTCATTGCGGGTGATAATTATGAAAACCGTTCAACTTGTGCCATCATCTGCTGCATCATATTGTCGTGAAACGCAAACGTTAAGGTTAGGAATAGTCTCTCTGTTTTGCTTTGGCTTTCGTAAACTAATTGTCATAGCGCCGTCACGATACAGCTATCGTAGCCGCTTACGAATCCCTGTAGTCGTTGTGTGGTAAATTCTCCAAGAATCTATGTTAAAGTATTGAGAAACGCGACTACCGGCGTAATGTGCTGGACCATACTATTCGCACGGCACAGGATCAAGTCAACTATCATTTGATTAGAAATGACTGTTGTGGCATCAACGGAGACGATGTATAATGTGCATCGAAGTACTGCATTTTTACATACAATCGTCCTTTTGCCACAAAAGCTTGCAAACACAATCGGAGGAGCTTAATAAATGACAATCTGTGGGCATCGGCCTCTTCAGGAGCTGAGGGCACAAAAAGGGTATCGAACATACTTGGTGTATGCCAAGAGGTGTATGATTATGTTAAGATCACACATGTATTTGAATGGAAAACTCAGTGTACGTGTTAGCTTGTTCACCAAAACGCGAATGTCCGATTCGACAAAGTTAGATTCAATCTTATAAACGCACCTCAAAGTCAAGCCATCATTGCGGTGCGTGGAAGCCGTGAGGTAACATTTGACGATTGATGGATCTAGATGATTGCTCTAGTTGATACTTCGGACAACCATGCTACAAATATATAATGGCAACCGTTTCACAGGCGAGATACTTGATTTACGACTATAGTATTCTACTTGTACAGAATGTGAAAAGAGACTCTAGATCTTACTACTATAGTGTCAACGACAACCATGCAAACGTCACAGCGCGAATTGCACCTACAGGTGGTGAAGCTCAAATTGATAGTCAGCTTGTAAAGCGACAAAGTACCGCCAGTTCCGCTTGGTCGCTGTCCATCGCTCTACGTAAACTGACGTCAGCCATCATTGCCCGTCATTGTCGACTAGACTTCGCCACTTTGTCACATCCGAGTCACCTGTTCTTTCGATCGGGTTAATTACCGCAATTGAAAGTGCGTTGAGCAGTCGTTAACGTTTGTGCTACTCAAATTGTCAAACGTAACGACGAAGTGCTGGCTCTTGCTCGATTGAATGCAAGCGTCATAGAATGGATCGGATCGTGGGGATACGATGAACCAGTTATTGACCGTATGAAGGACTTTATTAAACGAGACTATCTATCGCCTTCGTTCAAAAACGACCAGACGCTTACCAAGAAGATCAGACGTACCAGCACTTTGCCGTAAGACGACTACTTCATTTGACTGCGTAAGAACGAGCCACATAATACAGTTATATGACATCTTACGCTGCATATTCAACAGTGATAGCTCAAAGGGATTACACTATTTCAGTTTTAGTTTACTAGCTACATGGTCGACACAAACGCAGTTCATAATGTATAGCTCAATTATGAAATGATTCGAGACTTTTTGTGTCTCTTTGCTCAAAGTGTCTCTCATCTCTCCCCATTTTGTTTGTTGCAACTGTTTTACTGCATGCTACACCCTTAACTTAATTCAATATGTATGTTTATCTAAGAATGCAAATTTTTCTGTCGGCCACGATGAAGCTCCATACTGGTTAAAAAGTCACTATCATTTAAGTGCACTATTATTATATATCTATCTAGATAGACCCAAAAAGCTGCTACTAAAAAGCACCCAAAAGTAGCATCAAATAGTATCAGACTCTTCATTTCCTTACACTTACTTCATCCGTCCCCAACCAGTCAAAAAGTTGCAAGCTGTCTACTTCTGATTGGTTAAAACAATTTCTATCATTTTCTGGGGGTGTCGCTTCCAAGCCAAACATTTCCAAGAAGTTCACGAAAGCCGTCGTTCTACTTTTGTTCCTCTCTCGATCCACAGTCACTCGTACACCATTTGCACAAGTCGTGTGTGTGTGTCTTTCTCTCCTCTTGCACCTCATACTGAAACGAGCGTCTATCTCCTTCTACAGTTGACAAAAATCTATTTTTTCTAATGACCGAAGCGCGGCCCAAGACCCGCGTTACAATGGACGCCCCGACACAATCAGGGGCTCTTGGAGCTTCGTCAAAGCTTCGACCGACTGCAAAAGAGTTTGTATTGAACAAATCAGCACCGGTCTGGACGCCATCGGTCGCTCCAGTCACGAGTCAACTCAAATTATCCGCGAAACCCTTTGTACCTTCATGTAAGAATACTGTATTCCAATTGAGAGAGAGAGCGAGAAAAACAATTATTGCAATACGAATGGAATTCTATAATTATTAATTGTATTTTTGTATTGTATTATGATAGTCAATGCACCCACTTTTGTACCAGGTTCTATGAAGATGCCACGAATGGAAAACAATAGTCCCATTGCGACATCAATTATTCCGGAAGTAATTTCTACTACACCAATAAATAGTACTCCATATTCAACTTGTACTACAACAGCTGTTATGGAAACAGAAGAGATGAAAACAAGGACGTTGGAGCCAATTGCAACACCAGCAACTTCTGCTGCTTCTTCCAGTTCATTCGAGTCGGAAATTGAAGAACAAATTGAGACAAAAGAGGACGAAGAAGTGGTGGAAATGGAAGTTTCACAGAAAAAAGTGTCGGAGATGGACGAGAAGAAATTAAAGCAAGACGTGGAGATGAACGTGGAGATGAACGTGGAGATGAACGTGGAGACTACATCTCCAATGGAAGAGTTGGAGATAATGACAAAGGCTGATGTTGTTGCAGAACAAAATGTGATTAAGGAACGTATTATTTACACTATCAAACAATTGCTGGATATGGAGATGGAAGTGGAAAAGTGTGAGATGCCAGAGTCGGTAAAAGGTATGGCCATTGCAGCGGAAAAGCCGACAAAGGCTCTTTCTGCTTCGTTGGTGGAGGGAATGGATAAGGGAATGCGTCGAAACGATTCGTCTCGATCTCTGAGCCGTCATAACAGCAGTAGCAGCTTTAATGACGGACGTGGACGTCGAGAACGTGAACGAGGAAGCAGTCGTGGTGGCCGTGGAGGTCGCGGGGGTCGTGGTTATCATGACACAGCTCCACCTCTTGAAGATTGTGCCCCTCTTGATATTAACGAAGAGACACGCTGGAAACCAACGCACGCAAAGTCGCGTCTAGATGACCCAGTTGAGACCACTGATGCATCTCTGAAGAAGGCAAAGTCTATTTTAAACAAGCTGTCGATCGAAAAGTTCGACAAACTGTCCGATCAGCTGATTGAGGTTGCTGTGCGCGGCCTAGATGTTTTGAATGGTGTAATTGAGATGGTCATAACTAAGGCACAGACGGAATGGCACTTCTCGACGATGTACGCTGAGTTGTGCGCTAAGATTGCACAGACTGACATGCCAGCGATCACCCTTGAGGACAATGAAGTGGTGACGGACACACATACGCTATTCCGCAAGCTGCTGCTACAGCGTTGTCAGGGGAAATTTGAGGAAAAGGTTCACGTTAAGGACCTCAAAGACTTGCGTGAGGACGAGCGCCGTGAGAAGGAGCTAATTATGAAGCGTGCTTCTCTGGGTCACATTCGCTTTGTCGGTGAGCTGTTCAAACAGCGTATGCTGAGCTCGCGTATCATGCACGAGTGCGTCGGCATACTGTTTGGTGACATTACGGCTCCCGATGAGGAGTCACTTGAGTGTTTGTGCAACCTGCTGAGTACGATTGGTCAGGCCCTGGAGGGCAATGCGTCCAAAAAGATCGAGCTGAATCACATTAACGGCTACTACGCTACCATAAAAAAACTGAGTGGTGAGTCGAAGCTTTTGTGCACTCGTGTGCGCTTCATGCTGCAGGACCTGTTGGAGCTGCGTTCAAACCGGTGGGTTGCTCGTCGCAAAGAGACAAAGGCAATGACAATTGCTGAGGTGCATGCAGAGGTTGCTCGTGAGGCAAAGGAGAAGGAACGTACAAATGGCAAGAATGGTGGCCACTCCCGTCTACAACGCAGCTACTCGATGAACTCTACAGGATCAATTAGCTCGAACGACCGGCGGCGTGGCAGCGGCACTGGCGCTGGTGCCTCGGCCGCCTGGAAAGCGCGAGCTGCGTCCTCTTCTATATCGTCTTCCAGCACAAACACTACTGTGGACGCGGATGGCTGGGAGACTGTAACGGGCGGTGCGCGTCCGAAGGGCGTCAAACACCGCAGCAATTCGGACCGGATCACTGCTCCCTCTTCTGGTGCACCCCGTCACCCGAGTGGTGCCCACCTTACTGGTAACACTTATGCTTTCTTGACTGGAAAGGAGAATGGACGTAGGGAGCGCGGTCGCAGCAACAGCTCTTCGTCCACGTCATCGCGCTCTTCACGTGGACGTGAGGACGTTGGCCTCCCGCCTACGTCATCTTCGACCAAGTCGAACAATGGCCGACCTGCCAAGTCTGCGAAGGCATTCGAGGCTGAGGCTACTTCAGCCCTTACGGCTGAAGCTTTTGAAAAAAAGGTGAAGGCTATTCTTGATGAATATGTGGAGTTGGAGGACTTGGAAGAGGCATACGCGAGCTTCACCGAGCTCAACGCCTCAAACCATTACGCCTTGATCCCTTCCAAGGTTTTGAGCATTGGCCTGGACAAGGGCGACAAAGAGCGAGAGGCAATTGCAGGGTTTTTGGCTGGTCTGTACAATCGTAAGGTCGTGACTGGCGCTGCTTTGGAAAGCGCGCTGCAGGAGTTGCTGGAGGCTGCTGAGGACATAGAGATTGACATTCCGAAGACGCTTCCATACTTGAGTGTCATGGTGGCTCCTTCTGTGGTCGCGGGTAGCATTACGGTTCCACAGCTTGTGTCTATGTCGGAGCACCTGTGCTACAATGGCAAGGCCGCAAAGCTGATTGGCTCGACTCTTGCGGCTATGGTGTCGTGCGAGGATGAAACGAAGGTGCAGGCGCTGCTTGCCTCAGAGAGCGTCGACTTCATGGCGCTACTGGCTGACGTGAACCGCAACGAGGAAGCTGTACAAGCGTTTTACAAGGACTATTCACTTGAGTTTCTCAATTAAAACATGTACGAGGCCCGCTCTAAAGCTGAGTTGAGTTTATCGTGGAATGGATGGATATAGGTAGGTTTGGCATATATATATCTGAGAGCAGGAAACAAAACAAACGTTTATATACACCATTGGAATCTCTCTTTCATGGAACAAACGTATATATATCAGTATGTGCGTACAAATGTACGTACATGTAAGTGTACGTACAAGTCTCGTTCGCCATAGGACGATTAGAACACGGCAATAAGCACAAAGCAGGCATACACGAGCATGGTCGGGTACATGACGAGATACTTTTGCTCCGTCATGTACAAAGCCTTTTCAAAGAACCGCGAGGCCGTGTGTGTGCTCCACAAAGTGCATACACTCGCCAAGAAAAAGCCAGCAATACCCAAATCCTTTACTGAGACCACAATGTTGATCGCTGCTAGGCCAATGATCGGCAGCAAACAATAACCAAGCACGGAACACACTCGATAAATGTCAATCATCCGTTCAGGAGACAACAAATTCATGAGCAGGTACATGAAAAGACACGAGAGCACGCCAAAGCCATAAATGTATCCAAAGTGAACTTTTGCAGCCTAAATGTTACAATACATGAGTACAAATGTATAAAATGTAAGTACAATTTTTTTTTCATTTTGCATAAACAATAATTAGTAGTCTCTTTTTCTATCAATGACGTACCAATAGCAAACACATGCCAAAGAGAAAGCAAAAAACAAGTGGTCCAGCCAGGTCGGCATCATCCAGAATGTGTTCATTAATCTGTTTGGTCGGGAGTAGCACTGATACCGTTTTGGCCCAAATGTGCTCAAAATTTATCCCCAATTCTACCCAAAAATAGAAATGGGTAAATTAGCCAAAGTAGAAAACTAAAAAATAGACACCTCTCTTTTAGAAATTTCAAAAAAAGAGTACCTTCCAATAGGGGCGGTTCATTAGCAAACTCGTTCGCCTCGTCGACGTCGTCATAGAAACCAGCGGCAGAGCCAACAGTTCCACTAAGTTCATTGGACGAGCCTGGCGCCAATGAATGGAAATCAGTAGTAGCTATTGGCTGCTGTGCTTGTGCATTCATGGGCGGAAAATCTTCCGCAGATGTTGTGAACCACGGGCTCATAGTGTTTGGATCCATGTTCATATTCATTCGGGCAAGTACGTGGTCTGATGATAAGTGAGGGAAAACGTCTAAATATGTGAATTTCATATAGAAACGTGATCGGGGAATTAGAAACATGGTGTGGAAAACATGAATGTATAAAAAACTCTTGTAAAACTATACTACAATTTATTCGAATAGACGGTTTAATATTAAATCCTTGGGGGTATATTGCTGAAATTTTGTGCTGACTTGTAATAAATTATTTGTAATGCAAACTAGTAGTAGCGTTAATATGAGTTATTGACTAAACCAAAATAGTATCGAATGGTGCAGTATTATTGATATTACTAAAGCTAGAAAAATAGTATTTTAGGCTTTCGATCACGTGAAGGTGACAATCGTCCTCCTTCTTTCATCCGGACGCACGAACAAAGAAGCTTTTCTTGTTTAATATGTAGTCATGTACCTATAACACCGTTCAGTAGCTGGTTATTGTCTCCGGTTCTGATTAAAACGTACTTCCTTGAGTTACGCTGGTCACTTCGGGTGTCATTGTCCTTACATTCTACTGCAATAGCACGCACTAGCTTAGCTTTTCCACAATAGCCACGCTCAAAAGAATCTCAAAAAGCCGTCAAAGGTTGTTGTGTTAGTCGAAGTAGATTATCGAACGTGATGAGTGCCCCAATTGTGTCGATGTGGTGGTGTCGTCGAGCACGAGAATGACCCATTGTTGGTCCTGTAATAGTACGAGTGCACGAATAACTTGTGTGCTGCTAATTCATCCGAGTTCGTACACGAGTCTGTTCGTTCTTGAGGCTCGCTTCCAGTGTTGGGTTCCCACTTCAAGGAAGCGTTATCGTGATTGACAACGATTCGAAGATTTGGAGTTGTGTGCGAAGTGAGACTATTCTTGAGAACTGCAATACCGGCTCGATGAGTCTGTAAAGATCGGATGCTCGGTAGCAAAGGATACACGCTTTGCTCCTGGTGCGGATAGCGTATTCTTGGAAACGACGCAAAGTTGCCATCTGCACTCAAAAGAGCCGAAAACCCTGGTACAAGAGGCGAGTCTTCTCTCTGATTCGTATCCTTCTCGTCTTCATGTGCAAATTTGGCAAGTGGTGATGAAGGTGACGATACCTTTTCATATATAGGAGTGATACCTGATCCGGGTGAGCATTTGTTGTTTGTAAGATCTGTTGAATTCGTCCTGCGTCGCCATTCGGTCGTCAGAGGATATTGATTCGCAGATCGGTCTATCTGGTGATCCTGGTCATCGTCAAATGTCTGACTGGGTGTCGACAATCTACCTGTAGTCACCGCTTGCACTGATGCTTCAGCCTTGTGCTCGGTACACATTCCACCACGTACAGCACGCTTGTAACAGCGTCCCAACAGACAAACAGAGGAACCACCGTGTCGCTGACAATAGTCGTTGGCCATGGCGCGTCCATCACAGTTCGTATAAACACATCTACGGTAACCGCCATGGCCCACGCAGAGTCCGTCGTACTGAACAACCTTGTTGCACCCACCGATACGGCATCGCTTACCACCACCTGAATCAAGACAGCAATTTAGAAACGTTAGTACGATGTTTATACCTCTCAAGCAAGTGCTGATGGCTTACCATGAGCAATACAGGCACCACCACTTTGGGCACGCTTGGGGCAGCCATGATAGCCACACTTTTTTCCACCGCCATGAACCCAGCAAAACCCTCCAGATTGAGCACTCTTGGCACAAGTTGGAGCTTGGCATCGCTTACCACCGCCGTGAGCGACACAAAGCCCTCGACTAACCACACTAGTGGTGCAGCCGTCAATAGCACATTTATTTCCACCTCCGTGTGCGATACAGCGTCCACCTCGCTTGGCAGTCTTCCGACAATTCGGGGCATTACATCTCCGCGAGTTAGGCTTAGTTCCAGGATCAGTTGGCAATGCATTATGCTGATTTGAGCAGCACATGCTATCAAGATTACTTCTTGATTTTTTTTCGATTGTACTGGCGCACAGGAGGTGGTCGAGCGATGGCATGGTAAATGGACAAACAACAGTACGAGGGTCGTAGCAAATGTTTACAAAGTCGTGTATGCAATTGATGGAGGTGACTGCAAAAGTATAAGTGTCTAACAGCTTATATGAAACAGCTTTCAATGAGACATGGTGTGTCCGAAAGTAAACTATCGACGCGTGATGGGAGAAGCTGAAACGCTGAGCCCGTTGATAAGTTTCAGAGGCCAACGTACTGCGAGGCCGCAAAGAAACGACATGTAGCGCATGGAGTTCGTCCAGTATAAATGGGAGGATCGCGTGGCCTACGTCTATTTCAATCCACTGCTTAACACGCGATGCCCATATCTGTTGACTCACGGATGGTTGTCTTGCCATCACTACTTGGAGTAGAGTTGAGTACATGTTGATCACATCAGCTTTTAGTGCAGCCTGTCAATTCTCTCAACCAATGTCTTCTACTGCAAAGTATTACTAGTGCTACCCAGACTCTGGCCTGATCAAAATCAAACAATGGTGCAAAATTTGCAGCAATTGTCTATTATGGGCGAGACATATCTTCGCTTCAGATTGCAGCGTTTTTTTCTATCAGGTGTTTAGAGGCGGCCATTACTTGAGTTCTGCTGCATCCCATGTTACAGCGAAACTATAGCGAAAAATAGTACTTCAAGATATAGGTGGCTAAGGTTTTTAACGTCTTCTTCAAGAACATCTCAGCGAAATGCCGCGTATTTGACATGAAAAGAGATCCATGAGATTTGTTTGCTTGAAAGCCCAACAAGAACGACGAGATGGATGCGATTCCAGCATCTGTTACGATGAAGATGAGCGTGGGTTCTTGCACTTGCACAGATGCCAGCGAATATCTGCATCAGAATGAAACAATTTCAGCTTGCAAAATTCTTCCTACATTTCATGCTACGATTCCTGGCTGCAATCATCACTCAGTTTACCCTCGCTGCTTCTTCATTCAATCCAGCTTGTTCTGACCACCAATCATTCGGAATTAGTGCGCCCTCGTACTCACTTATTGACGGCGAGACATGACAATTAGTGCCACCACCGCAACGGTAGCTGCGACAGCGGTGTAATTCACAACCTCGTCCGACACACCCAGCCATTGCGCCAGAGCACTTGGCGTCGTCGGCGACGCGAACTTCATCTTGCTGCTTTTAGACTTCGCGATACTGTTCTCAATGTCCCGCTGGATCATCTTAGCTGCAATCGGGTGGTACAAGTTCTTGCAATCCGCAAAGATGGCCTCAGCCTGGGCAGCACCCAGGGCAGTGCATAGGTCTCGGAAGAGCGGACGTACAAACTTCATACGGCCCTGTTCCTTAAGCATCTCGACAGTCCTGTCAAGCACACGCAAGTCGCCCGAGCGAAGAGATAACGTGTACCAGCGGAATCGAAGCTCTGAATTGTGCGTAGTAGTCAGGTGATGGTGTGTGAAGGAATCGATCACATCTAGATGCGCAGCCGTAAACGTCACGTCTTGCTGCTTCAACAATAACGTGTCTAGTAGCAAAATCCACAGAGTGGCCGGCCACTTCTTTAGCACATCCTGACTGACGCTCGTCCACGTGTCTGAGTCACTGTTTGCAGTCATCTGTTCGCCTAGATTCGTCGCTTGGCTAGTAAGAGTCGTGTCAAACTTGTTTGCAACAGGCGGCATGCCAGGCGCATGATACCACGTTTCCCAATCAATTTTGCTCAATGCTTCTTTCTGTTCCGCAAAGTACTTTTCGAAAAATGCACGGAATTCACCTGACGTGATTGTCTTGTACTTGAACTCTTGAATGTACGCCTGCGCAAATTTGTCAAACACTTGATGACCTCCAACTACCGTTGACAGGTAATGCAAAAAGTTAAACCCCTTTTCATACGGGATCGACGAAAAGATCTCATCAGGGTCAATGCCGTCCGTATTAGGTACCAGTGCCGTAAAAGGGTGCATGGGTCCAAATTCTTCCACCGCTTCCACAAGGTCACGCAAACCAATTGCAGCCTTGAGATCGTAGGCCTTTGGATCCTGCGCAATACGAGTCTGTATTTTGCGTTCGAGCCACATTGTCCAGCCTTCATTGAGCCAAAAGTCCGTCCACGATCGATTCGTGACGAGATTTCCCGTCCACGAGTGGGAAATCTCGTGAGCCACGACATCAGCAAGAGAACGATCGCCTGCTAGTAAAGTTGGTGTTACAAATGTCAAGCACGGATTCTCCATTCCTCCGTATGGGAACGAAGGGGGGAGACAAACAAGATCGTATCGTTTCCAAACATATTCTTGTCCTGTAATGTCTTCAGCATGTTGCAAAAAAGCTTCCGTCTGTGCAAACTCATGAGCAGCTTTTGTCACTACCGTCGGTTCTGCCCAGACTCGACTACGAGGTCCAAGATCAACACTTTCTAATTTACCAGCAACAATTGCTAGTAAATAGGAAGGAATGGGAACAGATTGATGAAAAGAGACTTGGTACGTCTCGTTTTTACTAGAAACATCCCTCTTTTCTTCTCCTGGAACAGCAATTGCACTCATCAGACACGTGCACCAATCAGGAACAGTCACCGTTGCAGTATACGTAAATTTACAAGCTGGGGTATCCGGACACGGTATAATTGTACGTGCATGAATGGCTTGACATTGTGTAAACAAATAGGGATGTGTCTTCCCCGCTGTAAGCTCTTTACTAAGCCATTGTAACCCACTGGAAGCGGCAGAGGTCGTGTAGTCCACACGAAGTTTGGTAGCATGAGACGGGACCGTGACGATTAGGGCTCGTCCAAAAACGGGGTGCACGGGGTCGGCAAGAGTGAAGGTCGTTGTCTCCTTGTCATCGACATAAGCCTTGAATATGTTCAAATGGTGCGTATCTAAGACCACAAGAGCAGAGGATGAAGTAGATGTATGATGGAAGGTATACTCGGCAGAACCTATGAGCTGTTGGGTCGTAAAATCCAGTGCAAGGACCCAATTCAGGTGAGTGAATGTCACTTCATCCAAATTTGAGTACGAATGAGACTTGAGAGGGCGAATTTGAGCCATGGGAGAAAATTGACAAATGAGGGAAAAAGGATCGATGGATACAATTGGGTACATTTAGTTACAGAAGAAAGAGGTTATATTGAATATAACATTATATTATAGGATAGAGGTAGTATTCATTGTAAGAGGTCAATTATAACAGAAAGGTGGCTGATGTTTTCTTTTTGCATTCTGATATAGATTGTTTCTATCATTCACATACAGTACACGAGCAGACTGATGTTGTTCTAGTAAAAGCATATTGATGATATTGTGTAATCATGAGGACTTAATTGACGATCTGATCGCTCTTTATCATTCACATACGCGATAACAAACAGAATTGACGTTCCAGGCTATTAATTATACAAGATTTAATTGCCGCAAATAAATGATTTGGCCTCTAAAAATGAAGTAAACACATAATCGGCTAATACATAGACTTTTATACTGTAATTAGTGTTTTTAGCAGTACAAGCTCCAGCCTTATTGTATCCGAAAGTGCACCAGCATGCCGTGAGTAAAGAACAAACAGCTAACGATCGTACAGAGTTATGCTTCTTATTGAAGGTGTGGATCTAATATGTTCGACAAATCTTTTTTATTGATGATCGCCAGCGAAGGTTCTATCGGGGTGACCCCATTACCTAACATTGGCATTCACATTAGACGCCAATGTGAAATATTAACTTAGCAAATTATATTAAGCAATATTATCGCACAAGAATTGTCGTTGTATCTTGTTTAAGTTGGAGATGCCCTTTTCCTACTGGCTGATATAGGCAATGATATCTGCCAACGCGCTGACCAATGAAGAATGGACGCACGTAATGAGTCGAGGGACGTCGGACGAGTTGCCTCGTTCGGTTCACGGCTATTCGCCTTCCGCGGACAGCTGGGAATCTCGCACTAACTGCTGGCGAATATTTTTGGCCTCGTTGAGTAGTATGAGGAGACGCTTCAATGGCACGAGAGGGGCATCGGAAGCGAGCGCCCAGCGCGCTCGTAAAGGGATTATAAATTGGTAATTTCTTCATACATCTCAGAGGAGATGCGAACTCGTCACCGGGCTCATTAGGGAGGTAAGGCCTCCTCGAACTCTCGATTCAAGTTGTTAGTACAATCCTGACACGAGTCGCCCAAGAGAAGCATGGTAACCCAGTCTCTCTTGACAACCGATGCAATTGATAGCGTGCCCCGTTTGGAGACCTCTTCTAAGACTTACTGCGTATTACAGCAAATTTTCAAGCCGTTTCGCGACCAACGACTCCACGTTGTGTACAAACGCGTTTTAGGTCTGTATCACCTTTGTTCTTCCCGCTGTACTCATTTATGTTTAACAAGACTTCAATGTAAAGTTCTGACTAAGTGCGCTAACCTTTTGCACTGGCGTTAAGGCCGGTCGAATAACCAAATTCGGTCGCGATCGCTGGGAGCGATCCAGTAAATGCTGTGACGACATCCACGGCTTGATTTATAGAATCGACACGCAATAGACCGCGGTCTCTATCCTTCCTTGTGATGTCAGTACAAATACCGTCATCGCCTTACCGAACTAGAAAAATTTGGCTCAAAAAACGAGTTGTCTGATTTATCAGACGACCCGAAAACATCTGGGTGGTTTAATTCACTCAGACCGTCACGGCCCTTTGTTTGGGAGTCACATCCTCTGGCAAGCTTAGAGAAGCAGTACATTTCGGATGCATCATCCAACTCGGCAGAGAAGTGGACCTTTAACTCTAGGTCACTACCCTCACGTGGCATCGAGCCACGTGAACCCGCAAGGTTAGACGACTGAATAGTTGCCAGCATCAGACGCATGATCGTCTTCTGCTTTAGGTTTTGAAGTCTCAACGGCATCCACTGTGGCACTGTCGGTACGCATCCTGTTCATCCACATCACTAACGGGGTGCTCCCGTACACTTCTTAAGTGTGACTGGCCACACTAGTGACTGATTAATATAGTGGATCTTCTGGGAAAGGAAAGCGCTTGTTGTTCAAACTTATATAAATCCAAAAGTTTCAAGACGTATTAGTAAGTATAGGCGTGTTGCCGAGAAGGCTGCAGAAAGCGCGTCTGCACGTCTCTATCTAGCCGCAATAGACACGAAAGAGAGAGGCAAAAGGAGAAAAGGAGATATCAGAGGAGGGGATCGAACCCTCGATCTCGAGCGTGTGAAGCTCTCGTCCTAACCATTAGACGACACTGACACGTTTCACCATTCAACACCATCCGCCGCATAAAAATGCGCAATTCAGAACATGGTATAGTAAATTGAGTTACGAGCAAATTGCTAGCTATTATAGCCAGTACCAAACACATATTCATATTTGATCTTGTGAAAAAGTACGGGATTGTTTGCATTTTTAGGATGGTGCCAATGAAAATGAACATGAAGCATTCTTGCATATTCGAGCTACTCTCAACCGACCAATATTTTTGGCATCTGATCCGTCCCTGGATGAGGTCTTACAAGCTCCCCCATTCTCCATTTTGCTTTAATCCTCCAGGAAGCTTAATTCTCGACAATGCCGGTTAAGCTCAACAAAATCTTGCTTGTCATAGTGCTTTTTGTTATCAGGATCGTCGTTCGCTATACCATGGGAATGGCGACGGCAGATCTGCTATCAGATGACGCCCTACGTACCTTGCAGGCATCGGATGCATTGCATGTGGATCTGACACCTCCTGCCTCGGGAAAGAAAAGGTATTTGAGGCCGGCCGCGGGCGTGACGATATCCAGCACTTGTGAAGTGAAAAGACTATGTTCTGCTCCCACGGAATTTGAAAATCTTGAAAAGCCTTTCGGGAAAAACCGTAGTTAGCCTTCTTTACCAGACTGCGTCAAAGTTTTTAATCAACGATCTACTCCAAGATCAGGACAAAAATTTGAACGCAATGGTGGCTGTTGTTTAAGAAACAAAAAACTTCTAAGGTGCCTTTGAAGTCTCTGCAGCTCAACAACCCATGTAATATACCCAAAGCTTACCGTGTTTAACGTTTACCTTGTGGAAAATTCTCGTCGAGGAACACCACGTAGATGTGTCCAGAGTAGTGTTCGTTACTATAGTTAATGCATGTGAATTGAAGGTGAAATGGACACGATCATAGTTCAAGCAAAAAGCTCAGCCAAATGTGGGGACACGGTTGAGAGTCTCTACACCTATCGTATCGAGCAGTGGGTTCAGCGTGGTCGCACACCGCGTAGTAGTTTTCATCATCTAAAACTTGGCATGCCACATTAATTACAAGAAGTAACCGGTCTTCCTGAATTCAACATGTGAACTGCACTCGACAGCGAAACGAACTCAGTGAATGAAGCTTTCAAATTTTGTAAAGGATCAAGACGCATAACTATTGACCTTGATCTGATGAGAGCTCTAGATGAATCGGCGAAGCCGATTTTAATTTTGAATTTGCTCAAGACCTAATATTATCCCAGCTTCTAAACTCAAAGTATAAAAGGCCAATAGAGTCGGCATTTTCCTTTTAATCTATCCAGGCGTTAAAGATAGGAAACATCGAAAACATAAAGATGTAACAAGGTGAGCTCGTTACATAGTATTGACACTTATATGACGTGTCAATTATAGTAATTATATAGCTCATAATATTTGACAATATTCTATTATCTTATAATATTGTCCTTGCATCTCCTTGAAGTTGAAGAAGCCCTCTAACTGGTTGATATAGGCCATTATATCAACCAGGGCGCTGGCCAATGACCATTAGACGTGCGCAATGAATGGAAAGTAAGTTGTCAACGTACATAGTTGTAGTTAAATATAGCTAATACAAGTTCATAAGAGATTACTTTATTAGATAATTTAACTATATCAAATACAATTCTTAGCAAACTCTTGGGCTAAAATAAATAAAGCATTGGAATGTAATATTTCTTACAAGTAAGTGTGTCACTTAGTCGTATAGCTTCCTCTGCCTCCGCCCGCGTGCGTGAGGTTTTGAGGCACCTGCTTTCACTGTCATCAGTGAAGGTAGACTATATTGTTATCAGTATATTTGGGGGGTGCCCCATTACACCTGGTAGCATTTCGTGGTCCATTCAACGACCACCGTACCATTCGCTATGTAACCAGCGGATGAAGAGCGTCATAACGAAACGCGTGATGACTTTTTCCATTTGAGTGATTTCGAATGGAATGTGGTTCAGCGTATACTTAAACCATTGTCAACCCTGCCGTTGGTGCTATGTTGCTATCTCATAGTGAAGAGAAACAACATGCAACCATCGAAAAGTTCATTTAACATGAGATTAAAGAAGTTGTAAAGAATATCACCTTGCTACAGGAGCAAGGTTCTCAACAGGTAGACTTGTTGAGAGAGCAAGGCGCTCGACAAGCTGACTTGTTGATGCAGCAGGGTGCTCAACAACTTGAACTGTTACGACAACAGCAGGATAGTGCTCCTACTGCCGGGTCGACGCGTATACGTTGACCCGAGTCCATGAAGATAGATCTTTTCAAGTACAAGGCAGTCGCAAGCGGCTCCTTGTTGAGATGGTTCGTCGATCTCGACGATGCGATTGAGGTCCGTCGCATCAATGACGATGTGATGAAGGTCAAGTTCGCCATGTCGAAAGTATCAGGACATTCCAAATCTTGGGCATTAGGGCTCAAGTTGCATGACCCATACGTTTTCTCATTGTATGATGTCTTCAACGCGCCGATCAAACACACATTTGAAACGCCTCGCGCCGAATTCAGGGCTAATCTCCTCTATCTGAGACAGGCTAAGCGTGATATAAACGATTAAGCCCAGCACGTTCGATACCTTGTTAGTTGTATCGTGCTTTCCTCAATCAATGAACCCACGCAAGTAACTGTGTTTATTAAGGTTCTGACGGATGGTCCCTTCAAGACCCACCTGCTCCGCTTTAAACTAGAATCACTTGATCGAGGTTCGATACCTGGTCGTTTAGAGACGAGATCGTCCATTATACTTCAAGATATCTTGACGATCTGTCACCAGCTCGTTACTCAGAGAATGAAGCCGCTGTTC